GGGATTTTTATGTATTAAGATAGCATGCACTTTGAAATAGTCAGTTTTTCAAAAACACAAATGTGAATTTCAAATCACAATTATTACTGCCCATGGTACATACCATTAGTATTTTTACAATTTGTATTACTTTCCATTGCTAAAAAAATCAATATAGGTGAAACACATTCGCGTTGCACTGCAGCTCATTTTAATAAAATTCTAGCACAAACTAAAACCAAAAGCGCAAAATTTAGGTTGACACCATGATTCAATAACAGAAAGGTTTTGTAATAAAGCAGTCTTCTCGCTCCCACACATAAAATCGGCACCTTTACTTGTGCAAAATGTTGCTTACTCTATAGTTTCTAGTGATATTAGTAGTAAAACCAAAAATTCTTCTCATACTCATGATACAAAAAAGAAGGTAGTTTCATTACTACTATTTTTTGATTATAAAGCAGAATTTTGACATTTCTCCAGATGTAAACATAAAGCATAGCTTTGCCACATTGAAATTTTTCGATAGGGGAGATTTTCTTTTAAATATTAAGGAGTAAAATTTACATACAAACAATAGTAAGTTGATGTGTTCAATAATCAAATTTGAACGCTTTTCTCCAGCGTTTAAAAGATCCTTTGAGTAATATCGATGTGAAGTGATGAAGAAATAAAATAAAATCTAGTTTTGAATTATTTATTTATTAAAAAGCTGTTTTTCATTTTATTTTAAACAAAATAAATAAATTTACATAACAAAACTCTTTTTTTTTATAGTCCGAAGAAGATGTATTGTTATTGTATTGTATTGGCCAAGCTGCACTTAACGCACTACTTACTTCCAGACTCTGAGTGCCAGTTCAATCGGGAGTACCTCTTATTATGCGTTGTCGCGCATATCGAAGACAAATTTCCTCTTCATTTTGTAAATATTTTTTTACAATAAATAAATGATTATTGAGGACTAAGTATGGCAGCACGAAATGTCACAATCTGCTTAATTGTCAGGTAGTTAATATGGCGCCCGAAAAGTGACAATGAAACTACCTTCTTTTTTGTATCATGTTCATACTAAATATTCGTTGGCGTCACCTTCGTTTGCGTAATTTTCTAGAACAAGTGTAGAAAAGCGACCGTTTAGCTATAAAATAACCAAAAATGCCGATTGATAGAACTTTTTGCGCTGATTTGAACGATACCAAATTTATTTGGCGCAGGTAAAAAATAAAGAAGATATAAGNTTTGATTTGAATTTGAGATATAAGAGGTTAATTTGTATTTTTTATTATCACCAAATTGTTGAAACCCAAAAGTAGATCATGATAAAATACGTAATATCGAATTAAAGATAATAACTTGTACTTTCTAAATAATATAAATTTCTTTACCATTAATTATGCAGTTTTTTCAAAAAAGGTTATTTCATGAAAAAATAACATTTGTTCGCTTTTTAGTGGTTTAGGTTTAAAAATACAAAAAGCTATAAATTATGTACATCAGCTGAAGAACAAATTAATTATCTTTATGGTGACGTCATTTGTTTTTTAATCGGTTATAGTGTTCATAAGGTATTAATATTTAAAATATATAAAAACTGAACTTTAACCTTCTAGAACGTCTTAATTTTTTACTTGCGCTAAATCATTTTGGCATGGTTGAAATGAGCATAAAAAGTTCTATTGATCTGCATCAAAAATGGATATTTTTATGTATTGTTTAGTATTTCCATTAAAACACCAAATATATTGCAAATTCGCATAGAATTAATAATACACATTTTACTTCTAATTGTATACTTTGCGTACTTTTTGTAGTACCATTCTACTACCGTTTTCGCAAAATGCGATCACATTCTTCCCCTTTCTCCTACTTCCAAAATACAAATCTAGATAAAGGAGTGTCAAATTTTAGCTGTCACAAATTACACAACCTTGTATTATTGAATCATGGGTAGTCACCTAGGTTACCAGGGTTACCTTGCGGTAATAAATTAATAGTTTCTTTTCAAATTGAAAATTGATCTTTTGGCCGCAGAAAGTGCTTATTTCAGCGATAGTGTTATGGTATATTTGTTTCATATTTAGAACGTATATTACTTAAATGGGAAGAAATAACTCCTTAAACAAATTAGCCGTTAGGGGGTGCGGGCCGATTTTACTTCTTTTTTTTATTAACCATTAATAAAAGCTTGTTTTTGGAAATTTCTTTTTATATTACTTGTTTCTCAATTTTCCTACATTGTAAAAGAGTTTTTCACACAAAACATCGAGTTAGATACTCTTTTTATCGAAGTCTTAAAGTGAAAGTACATAGCGTCCATTGCGTCGCCGTCACCGTCACCGGCAGTTGTCAAAAAAGCTGATTCGGTGTATTTGTATGAAGTTACTTGAACAAGCTGACGGTGACGGTGCCGCACAAATTAACTCAACTCTCAATTTTGCTTGTGCGATTGCGTCAAATGACAACTATTCAGTGTTTTGTTTACATGTTTGAAAGTAAATTTTTCCAATTTGTGAAAACTGTAATATTTATGGATAAACGAAATCCAAAAAATAATGGAGGAAAACCTAATAGAGAAAGGAAAAAGTAAAATGAAAATTTTCCAAAGAGTATCAGCGAGTTAATGATTTTTCGGGCGCAATGTCAAACGAATTGTGTGTAACTTGACGCATAAGCATCGTTGAAGGTGATGGTGACGGTGGCGGTGACGCTGTCGCAATGGATGGTATGTACTTTCACTTTTAGCCTTTCAAATATGTCATTTTGTTTTTTTCAATGCCAAACTTAAACGAGGCAACAGAGAATATATTATGTATGATACAAAATTATTCTGACGACATCGTGCGTGTTTCGACGAAGTCGTCTGAATTCGTTAGAACAAAATTTCGTCAGAATACCCATCCATAAGGTGCATTCTTTTGCAACCGAGCTACAAAAAAAAATCGCTTAAATGACGAAATACACGCAAAGCAACAACACAAACTCGGCTATTTATCCGAGTTCAGCCAGGTCGGTTAAAAAATACGCGACCTGAAGCATAGAGTTGTTAAGTGAAAAAACTGCTCTATTGTGAATTGTTAATGGGGAAGTGGAGAGGGAAATTTTTGTTTCCTTATATACGTGACTTATATTTTAAATAATTATATACATATATTACGCAAATACCTCGCATAATTACTCATTATACCTTTCATGAGCATGAAATGGTATTATAACTTTGGTCCGATGTTTGTAAGTACCAGAATAAGAAGAGATAGACCCACTAAAATGTATACTTAAATGATCAGAACGGCGAGCTGAGTCGATTTAGCCATGTCCGTCTGTCTGTCTGTCTGTCTGTCCGTCTGTTTGTATGCAATCTAGTCTCTCAGTTTTCGAGATATCCGGATCAAATTTGGTAGGTGGGTGTATTTTTATAATGTATTAATCATTTGTCGGAACCGGAAGAATCGGACCACTATAACATATAGCTCCCATACAACTGATTGTTCAGATATGAGATTCTTCGTTATAACTTCTCCATTTATGCAGCTAGGAACATGAAATTTTGTATTACTTCTACCCATTATCAACAGAAAACTTAGAGTAAAAATTACAAAGATCGGGTCACTATAACCTATAGCTCTCATACAACTGATTGTTCAGATATAAGATTTTTCGTTATAACTCCTCCATTTAAGTAGCTAGACACATGAAATTTTGCACTGTTGTCACTTATTATCAAACGAATACTTTCAGTGAAAATAGCAAAGATCGAGTCACTACAACCTATATCCACCATACTGATTGTTCAGATATGAGATTTTTTGCCATACCTTCTTCATTTATGCAGCTAGGAACATCAAAATTCGCACCGTTTCCACTCATTATTAACAGAATACTTACAGTGAAAATAACAAAGATCGGGTCACTTTTACATATAGCTCCAATACAACTGATTGTTCAGATATGCGATTTTTTGTTATAACTACTCCATCTATGTAGCTAGAAACATGAAATTTCGCGCTATTTTCACTCATTATCAACAGAAGGATTACAGTAAAATTAACAAAGATCGGGTCACTATAACCTGTTTATTGCCTCCATACAATTGATTGTTCAGATATGGGGTTTTACTGTAAAACTCCTTTATTTGGACAGCTAAAACCGATAAATTTCGTAAGCTATTTTTTAAATAATAATACAAAGTCTACTGAGAAAATCGTCAAAATCTATGCTGTATAAGCTTTATCTCCTATAGCACTGATTGTTCAGATACCAGTTTTTGCCATATATCTCCTTTATGTAGGAAACTAAACCCAATAAATTGTGTTACCGGTTTACATACCGATCACATAGCAGTGAAAATCACTTAGATTGGTGCCATATAAAGTATATCTTCCATACCTCTGATTGTTTAGATGCGATTTTTTATATAAGTATGTAACTCCTCTATCGATGTATGCAGATGTATTCAAAAGCAGTAATCTGTCAAAGTAAAATTTGCAGATGTTCATGAAAGGTATGAAGCCTTCGGCATAGCCGAAGACAGCGCTGCTCTTACTTGTTTTAATTGGTTTTTGTATCTAAATCCCGTTAAACTAGTCACATTATTCTTGCCAGCTACCAACAGAGTTGCTTAAGTAGCTAAAAGGAAATTTTACTCGAGTTAAGCGTTCTTTTGTCCCTCGCTTACAAAAAAATGCACATATAGTAACCGTAGCATAAATTTCGTTTTTAGAGTGGAGAGATAACTCACGTTCGGCAGTTAATTCTCTATTTAAAAACAAGCCTAAGGGCCGATTTAATGATTTAACTATATTTTAAAATGATTTAACTATACTTTAAAATAGATAAACTTAACTATAGAAATTTCTATGAAAGATATGTCTGTAGTTACGTTTAACTAATGAAACAACTATACTTATATAAAAAAGATAAGTAAACGGCCCTAAGAGTAATAACGGCATCAAATGCTCGACACCTTAAAATATTTCAAATAAAAACCTTACTGCAACTGATAAAAATCTCATCTTCTGCAGATGGCATCATCGTTTTGGACGAGGAATATGTTCGGCAGAACCGCAAAGTTTTCATCCAACTCATCTGTAACTTTCGTTATGGACGTGAAGATGACGAGATGATCGGCTTGCGCTTCCAAAAGGAGCTAACACTCGTCTCACAGCAAGTGCATCCACAGCAAAAGGTTGACATACAATTGACAAAAATGCAAGAGCGTTTGCTGAAGAAACTCGGTTCCAATGCTTTCCCATTCGTTATGGAGTTACCTTCCAGTTCACCAGCTTCGGTGGTCTTGCAGCAGAAGGCCAATGATGAAACGCAGCCTTGTGGTGTACAATACTTTGTGAAGGTCTTCACAGGCGACAGTGACTGTGATCGCTCCCACCGTCGCAGCACCATCAATTTAGGTATACGTAAGGTGCAATATGCACCCACTAAGCAAGGAATACAGCCATGCACAGTGGTGCGCAAAGATTTCCTACTCTCACCCGGTGAGCTGGAGCTTGAAGTTACGCTCGATAAGCAGCTATATCATCACAGCGAGAAAATTGCGGTGAACATCTGTGTGCGCAACAACTCAAATAAGGTGGTGAAGAAGATCAAGGCTATGGTGCAGCAAGGCGTCGATGTTGTACTCTTCCAAAATGGACAATTCCGCAACACGATTGCATTTGTAGAAACTAGTGAGGGTTGCCCGTTAAATCCAGGCTCGAGCTTGCAAAAGGTTATGTATTTGGTGCCAACTTTGGCTGCGAATTGTGATCGAGCTGGTATTGCCGTCGAGGGTGACATCAAACGCAAAGAAACTTCACTGGCATCCACAACACTGTAAGTTTGCAGACAATGACCTCCAAAGTATACGCAGATGTTTCAAGTATACAATTTTCATTTCAGCATTGCCAGTCAGGATGCTCGCGACGCTTTCGGAATCATTGTTTCATATGCCGTTAAGGTTAAGCTATTCTTGGGTGCTTTGGGAGGTGAACTATGTGCCGAATTGCCTTTTATTCTAATGCACGCAAAGGTAATTAAAAGGACATTTGCCATTGATTTGGTCGAAAGTCATAGATAACTTGAACAATGGCTTGCTACTTAGTATAACCCAGAAACAGTTTTACCCGCTTTTATTAGCTTAGTACATCGATTTATTTGTGCCACTGACGTCCCTAATGTAAATAACGGAATTATTCAACGTAATTGTCGCCAAATTCAAATAGTTTGGTAAATGATATCAGCTGAAATTAAGAACAGTAACATGTAATGATTATGGTGAGGTGTGGGTGCTGCTAAAAACGGGGATATACTTTGGAGAGGTTAGTCACGTCTCGACCTCTCATCCTCACCTGTACTCAGTTGAAGGACCACGACAGGGGGAATCCTCTCGTGCCTCAGCTATTGCGGTATGGGGTGGGTTTTTTTGCCACGCTTCAACCGGAAACACATAAACTTTAGTTTAAAGGATTCCTATCTGAATCTAATGGGGAGACAAACCCCACGAACTCAATAAAACCAAAACAAAAGTTTAGGAAATGAACGTAAAAGTTAAAAACAAACAAAGGCGTTGAGTTCTCATTCATGCGGAACTGCTTAGAAGCAGGCTAGGCCTAGGTTGTTAGTCGACGCCCGCATTCTGTACCCATAATTTTCGATAGGATAGTTTGACGAAGATCCCTTGTAACAATTACTCCTACCTTCATGTCATCATGTTATAAAATTCATAATTTATTGAAAAAACTTCATAGTGGTCTCAAATTTTAGAAAAAAAAAACAATTTAAATGATTAGGCTTAAATACTAAACTTGGAACTATGCTCTAATATTCTTATTTCAATGTATTTATGTAATGTTTGTTACTTTATTTTACATAACTTTTGTTCTCTATTTCTATTTTCCTACAAGGCGGCTGTTTTTTTAGCATTCAATTCTCACATATTAGTGATAAAAAAAGACATTAATCACGATCGCTAGTTTTCGTGTTACTGGTATATATAGAATCAGAAGCAGAAGTTTTACATTTACTCAGCTGATCGCTAAACAAGATCAAAGAGAGTACATAGCAAAAGTAAAGTTATTGTTGTCAATTGTTAAATTTGGTTTTCTTTTTAGTTATTCTCAACTTAAAAAAACTGGTTTTGGATGTCTGGAGTTTGTTTTTTTCTTAATTTTGGGTCTTTAATTTTAATGTTTGCTACATAAGCGGTTACCAGACAGACAGTAGTACACACATACATATGTATGTATAAGGAATGCGCTTACAAATCTACAGTATCGTGTACATATGAGGATGCACACGCAGACGCAGAGGCATATATGTAACTGTTAACAAGACTTTAACTTGTTTTATTTTATTCATTTTAGTGCAGTTATGATAAAATTTTCTTGCTAAAAAATCTTTTAATACGCTTGTTTTTAAAAAATATTTTTTTTTACATTATTTTATTTTGAAATTTTTAGTTTTATTTTACATAACCAGGACATAATATTTTTATTAAGGGTTGACTCACAATTTATGAGCATAGCACATTTAATATAAGCGGCGTAAATCTTTTCGATCATATGCTTAGGCTGAGCAAAACACGTTGAGCTAAGGTAGCGAAAAAATTGTACGAAGGAAAAAATGGCGGAAAGTTGGCAACTGTTGAACTGAGCGGAACTACTCAACTGTGAGTTTCTAGGACAAACAGTCTACGGTTAGACAATATGAACGCGCCCTATGTGCCACGAATTAGGAGCATAATCAGAAACAAAGCGGTGTGTTATTTAATTTAAGCATTCAGATCAAGTTCAAACCACACACCCGGTAGGTGCTCTACAGAAATTCGTATAGAAATATCCCAAGGTTCACAGCAGATTTATTCAAACTAATTTCCGATATTATATCTTACCAAGGAATTCACAATAGAATCTATCATACCACTGCCTAAAACTATCCTACATAGTTGGGCCGGCAAATTACGCTCTGCTATCACTATCAGTAGTGAATACGCTGTAAAGAAGCTGTTAAGCAGGGATCGCACGATTTGTGCATTAGTACAGATTTGTACATTTTGGCAGTCACAGAAATAATGAGTTTTGCTCAATAACAACTTTCAAACAGCACCACTCTGTAAATGTACAAATCTTGTGATCCCTGCATTAGATGAAGATAAACATGCACCCCTATTCTGCAACTCTTTCGTATTCGGATTTTGCTACGAATCGTAGAAATAGTATGCTGCAATCCGAATCGTATTTTCGAACTTTCGAAATTCGTAACAATGGCATGCCTAAAAACGAACGAGTAAGAAATTGGCAGCTTTTCTGCGTAATTTTGTATGAAAACAATCCTGAGATAAAATATGTAAATCGGCGTGTGTTTGGAGGAAATATTAGTGGTGTTCCTTTAAACAGACAAATTTGCCTTTCGTATATATGGACGTATATTTTTTTCCACTGTTTTATACATATGAACGAACAAAAAAGAATGTTTGTTGCCCCTCATCGAGAAACTTGTGTCCGGTTTCTTTATTTGTACAATGATTTTCGGTTGTTGTGTCCAAACGCATAATCCGAATCTAAAAGCAATAACATGTACGTGTAACCAAAGCATTAAACTTTAATTTAAAATAAATGGTTAAAATCTCCGAGCAATAGTTTATTAATAAATTCGGTTTGTACTATGCACTTTTTTGTAAATTTCGATGTGGGTTCTGTGCGAAAATACTGCGGATGGCGTAACCGGAGTTATATGCACAAGAAATGTTATTGTATTAACTGGATTGAGAACCAGTTCTTCAGGCATAGGAGGTTGTGGTTGAACAATTCAACCAGAAGTTGACATAGATGCGTCTATGGTTACTATGCCCGACAGCTCCGCATATCTTTGTGAATTCACTTCCATAGCGCGTTCTTACTCTGCTGCTATAAATGCAAATGCAATAAAATTCATCGTTTCCTTCACAATATATGTAAAATCAAACATACCATAAATAAGCACTTGATGAATGTTTTTTAATTCCTTGTCACTTTGTTTTCCTTTATTCTTGGTAATGCTGCACAGGTTTCCGCAAGGGTTGCAGCATGTCGATCTTTCGTTTTACTAAATGCGATAGCTCTTCGAAAACATATGTTTAAAAGCAGTAAAAACGCTGCATAAGGTACAAACCTTCTCCTCGCCGAGACGAATACTAAATTATGCGTGTTCCTACAATCGGACCACAGAAACATGGAGTCTATCGCTGTCAAACGTCAATAAAATTTATTTTCTTTTTTTTATGGAATAATTGGTCGTCCTCCCCTTCTACTTACTTTATTTTAAACATTTACAATTCTATATGTCAAAACACGTCTTTTATAAACATTTCGAGTTGGAATATTCATAAAAATAATTTTGGCACGCACCTAAGCCTGTCCGAAAAAACGGGCACGTTACTTATGGAACGATTCTCTCAAGTTTACAGTAACTGGGACTTGCTGTTGTTTTTTGGCATTTTTTTGTTGATGTCAGTAAAAGCTCAGTTATGCAAGACTTAGACTTGACTTGAAAATTGTATATCTGACAAATGAGCAGCGCGTGTATGTAGTTACCCAAAAAACCAACTTCACTTAGAAACTTGGAGAACAATATAATTTTGATTTCCAATTTAAATTTCTAAGTGCAAAGAGAGCCGTGAGAGAATCATGATGCCATTTCATTTTTTTTCATAAAATCCCTTAATATAATTTTTTGTGTAAATGTAATCCATCAGGCAATCGAAAAACAAACTTTCAAATAAAGACAGAAAATTAATCAAAAACAATCACAATTTCAAACCAGTGTTGCCATTTTGGTGCTTTTCGAGCTAGATTTAGCTCTTTATTTTTCCATTTAGCTCCGAAAATTGAGTTTTAGCTCTTAGCTCTTTTTTGAGCTCTTTTCAAATTTATCTAGCATTTTTTTTAGCTCCAACAAGTTTTAGATATTTTGGTGTATATAAACCGAAACTAAAGCGTTGATAAAATGGAAAATTTCGCGAAGCAGTGTATCCACCATAAACTCTTGGATCTAGGTTAAAGAATTCAAAAATTAGTTAGAAGAAAATCCTTTTTCTGATAGCGCGGATTTTGTTTTACCTTACTAATTTTACCTTTAAGGAGAGCTGGAAGTAAAACTCTCCAGAAAAATTATGCGAAAATGATTAAATTCAAATATTGCCATAGCAACGAATTGGAAATATATGCACCTTATTTTGGTTTTAAAAGATTTTTACAGCACTTAAACTTATAAAATTCGTTGTTTTTATTAGAATTGCCGAACACATAAAAAAACCTTACGTCAATAAATGCTCAAGCTTAAAAAAAAAATTGTAGCTCTTCATTTTAGCTACTATTAGTATTATTTAGCTCTTTTTAGCTCTTTTTTTCGACCGTTTTAGCTCTAAATTTGCTCTGGCAACACTGTTTCAAACGCGTAAATACATTTATTTTAATAGTAATTTTGTAGCAATTTTGGTGTAAAACCAAACTAAACGTTTTCAATTTACGTGTACATTAGGGTGGGTAAAAAAAAATCAAGTATTATTTTTTTTTGGATCCGACACACGAAAACTAGTTCCTAGGTACCTCTAGAAAGTACTTACCAAATCTGAGCTCTTAATATTAACGGGAAGATTATGCTCATCATAGTTTTCCATTTTCAATTTAGTCTCAAATAAAAATAATCATATCTTATCACCAATAGATCGTCAATATTTATAGCAAATTGAACGCTCTACAAAAATGGTCTGCTATACTCTTTTCATTAATCTAACCATTTAAGAGATATTCAAGGTCAAAGATTGAAGTATTTTAAGGAGAATAACTTTTTCTTTTGAATTTTGTAACTTACTAAAAAATAATTATTGTCAAATGAGCTTCAATTATTTCCATAGCGAATTGAACGCTCTACAAAAAAGGTCTTATTTAATCGATTACTCTACCCATTTAGAAGATATTCGCAGAACTCCAATGCCTACTGATTTTAATAGTTTTTTTTTAAATATTTCCAAAAAATAAAACTTTTGACTGC